TTCTCTCTCTCTCTCTTTTTATATATATATATATATATATATATATATATATATATATATAAAGATATTTATATATATATGCATATAGTTTTATATATATATATATATATATATATATATATATATAACGATATATATATATGCATATAGATTTATATATATATATATATATATATATATATATATATATATATATATATATATGTGTGTGTGTGTGTGTGTTACTGTATAAACCCACTTGTTATGCCTGGTCTGAAGATCTGACAGTCAATATGCAGTATTGATTCCTATATAGACACGCATACACACATACATAGACACAATCAATCTTTCTATGTATCTAAGTATCTCTTTCTCTCTCCATATATATATATATGTGTGTGTGTATGTGTGTGTGTGTTTGTGTGTGTGCATGTGTGTGTGCGTGTATATGTATGTGCATGTGTGTGTGTTTTGCGTATGTGTATGCATGTAAACAATCGACCAAACGTTTGGATCCACCCTCCGGATTTAATAATTCATATGTATCATACCTACTTCTGTTTAATTTTAATTATCTCCTACTAAGTTAGCTAGCTACAACTGCCGACCCCATTACTGCAGGGGGTTCAAGTTTTGACGGAGGGATCTTACCTCAATTTGAAATTGCCAAACCCTAATAGTTACATTAATAGTTGCAAGTTACATTAGGCACGAACAGCTAAAATATTTAGGAAACTTTCTGAAATAATGGGTTCAATATTATTCGTTATTATTATTATTGCTGTTATTATTATTAGTAGTAGTGGTAGTAGTGGTAGTAGTAGTAGTAGTAGCAGCAGTATTTTATTTCCTTTGATGGTCTATACATCTCCCGCTATGCATTTTTGACGATGAAAAATACAAGATCACACATATTTTACATAGTTAAAGCCCTTTGTAATATGTGGGCTATACTTGTGAGTATAATCTTTTTGTATTTCTTTAATTCTTGGGCTACAAAGAATTCCTTCAATGACTCTATCTCGACATTTCTCCAATCAATCCGTGGGCTCCAACTAAAACTGGAACAGTTGAAGTCCTCAACTGCCACATTTTTGAGATTCGATTTCAAATTCCTTGTATTTTGATAGGTTTTTCAGATTATACAAAGATCCAATAAAAATCTGCAGGGACGTCTATGTCAATAAGAAGGTACATTTTGTGTCTGCGAGCTCTGAACACGATTTCTGGGCCAGTAGCTTACATTCTTCTGTCTGTGTGTCTTTTTAAAGCCCCATAAAATTGTTACGGACCCTTTTTCTTTTACCGGGTCTGGGTGATGTTCATACCAATTACTTGCAGTTTCATTTCTAATGCAGATATTGGCCAACTCTGTCATGCCGGGTTTTATATTCAGTAGGTACTAAAAGCGTTCCCCTGATACAAGATGGTCAATAGTTTCTCTATATTTATCAAAAATCTGCATTTTGGGCTAACACAATTTTTCAAAATGAGTGATTGGTTATTACTAGTTAGCAAGTATTGACTCTGTGCAGAAAGATTAAAATCTTCGATGTCAGCTTTTATCCCTGCACTGCGTAGACACTTATGACTACGGGTTTGTGTACGTCAGCTTGTTTGGTACAGGCAGAATACTGACTGTAAAGAGGATTATCTTGTCCATTGCGTTTGTCCCTCATCATCCAGTCTTCTTTATTTTCAAGATATCTTGAAGGCCGTTTATTGTAGTTTGGTAAGACAGTTCTAGTTGAACTAATCCTCTGCCTCCTTCGGATCTGGTCACATAGAGACGATCAACTTGAAATGATGCATACTATGGCAATTGAAAAGCGTTTTCGTTTTGGCTTTCATTTGCTTAATGTCAGCTGTGGTCCAGTTAGGTATGTAAAAACTGCACCACAGGGAGAACAAAGGTGTTTATGGCTAATATATCTTTTTTTAAAATTCCACTCGGTATTCAATAACAGACGGACACCTCTGTAGTATTCTGTTCTTATCTTCTACTTCATTTGGGCATAGTCTATTCCATATAATTTGATGATTCCTATGAAACTATGTGCTTCTTTTGATAATCTAAATTTAATCTTGATCTGTTAAGTGTGATTCTGGAATTCTCCCTTCCTTTGATCATATTTTTTCACATTTATCTAATCCGAAATCAGTACGGATGTCGTCACTGAAACATGTTACAGACTTGATGAGACCCTTCCACTTATTGTCGCATTTCGCAAAGAGACTGAGATCATACATGTAGCGTAGGGGATTAAATACTTTCTTGTTTATATTGTATCCATAGCTATTAGTGTTTAGTTAATCGAACTTGGGATTAAGAACAGGCAAAACAGAAGGGGTGACAGGGTGTCTCCTTGAAAGGTTTCTCATCGGATATTCAGACGGCTGAAAGTGGCAGAGCCTTTGATATGATTTAGATATAATATTGTTTTCCATATTCCCATGCTATGTTTAAGGGAATATACTATCATTGAGGAAACTATACATTTCCAAAGCCTTAAGAATCCAATAGAATGGCATATTATCAGAGGATTTACGTTAATCTATGATTGATTGCTGGGATTTCTACCTCCTTTCCCGCAATTTTCCAGGATCTTTTTTATTTATCAATAGTTTATCTTTATTTATCAATTATTATTATTATTATTATTATTATTATTATTATTATTATTGTTGTTGTTGTTGTTGTTGTTATCGAATATATAATTGTTGTAACCTAGAGAAGGTTACTGAATAAAATAATCAGAAAAGGTTGGTAATGAACGATAATAATTAGAAAAAGGACAACACATATAAGATTCGCCAGCGGCGCGTAGAAGAAGTAGTCATTTGCTAGAAGTGAGTCAAGTGTATTCCACATTGAATCCTCAACTACAGGATATTTACCAACCGCTCCAGGCGGTCAGATGTGGCATAAGGCCGAATTTAATGTGGGGTATCCGAGCTCGGATACGTATAAAATGGGGTCGGGTAGTTGTTTCCCGTGACGAGATTCTTCCTTCGACTTAGCCTCGTTTGCGGATGCTCTCTGCCCGGAGTTTGACTAGCACAGCTGGAGACGAATCTCCAACTACAGACTAACATACAGTATTTATTATGCTACAACGATAATAAAATCTTTTAGGACACGTTCGTGCATTTAATATTGCTGTCACATCTGGTGTTGTGCTTCTGCTATATATTTAGCAATTCTTGATAAAATTCAAAGACGAATCTGCGATTATATCGGTCCTGATCTGGCATCTTGGCTCCTACCAGTTTCTCACCGCCGTATATGTCGCTCCACTGTGCTTTTTCTATAAACATTGTGATGATAATTGTTCTGAAAGAATTTCCACCTTAGTTGTTCGATTATACGAATTTCAACTACTACTATATTGGCAGTTTTATCTCACTATTTTACAATTGAAATTGTTAGAAGTAACCGTAAGTTCTGTGTTAACAGTTTCTTCTCTGAGAGTACTCGCTGGTAGAACACGATTCGGTTTCTTCATTTCCGGTCATCATTGATCTTCAAAAATTCAAACGCAATGTCAGTCGTTATCTACTGTTTTCTTTGAAAAATTCTCTCTCTTTCTTGCTCTCATATTCTCTAACACTGAGTAACGTCTTGGATCTTAGTGGCTATATTAACTTGCTTTGGATGAAACGATTAAAAAATATCAATGAGATGAAATCCTCACGTCGCTTTATCAGACTTGCAACGAAATCGTTAAATATTTACAACGAATGTCCTTACTATTCATTTTCTTAGTTTCCATGAATGTTTTATATTTTCACATCTGATCTTAATTTCTGCCTTCTTAAGTCCAGACCCTGTATTCTTCTCTCTCTAATTCTACTTTCTTTTTCACACATTCTTTCACACTCTGTGAAATCTTTGTGTCTTAGTGGCTTTATTACCTTCTTTGAGGTGAAATGATTTAACAAACAGGCCATTGAAATCAGCTTCGAAGCAAACATTTTTCGGTAGCAGGCCATATCATTCGCCTTGATCAGATTAAAATGGCCAAACAGATATTTAACTGCTACGTAAAAGATTCACTTTCAATTAGATCATTTTGATTAAAATTAATGACAAAGCAGAAATCAAAAAGTCCATATAATCCAAAAAAGACTTGTAAGAAGTTCATAAAATTTCAAGCATGCAGCTAAAAATTTGAATTATATTGATCCAGTAGTGTACATGTGATAATATTAAGCAATTTAAGCCATAAATATCGCATAGCTTAAATCTATCTATCTATCTATCTATCTATCTATCTATCTATCTATCTATCTATGTTTGTTTGTCTCTCTCTCACTCTCACTCTCATTCTCTCTCTCTCTCTCTCTCTTTATATAAATGACAGAGTTTGTCTCTTAACTACAGGCTTCGTTAGTAACAAGCGCAGTCATATTAGTAGACATTTTTAGAAGTTACACTCAGAACAACGTTGGAAATAACTTAACATGCGAGATGTCTGGGAAAACCTGCAGAAATCGCTCCAGGTTAAAATGGCACTTGAAAATCCACGAGCAACGTGACAAGAATTTATAATAACAGGCATATTCACGTGACCTAAAACTATGGTTCAAACTTTTCAGAATTGATCATTTTCGTTTAGCAAGTAGACAAACGCCACACACACACACACACACACACACACACACACACACACACACACACACACACATATATATATATATATATATGATGGACTCTCCCGTCGGTTCCGACGCATGATGATCTGACAACTTAATTGATCCAGTTATGAAATTTTGTGCGTTAATGTTAAGCTAGTGTTTTACAAAGGAGGTCACGTATGGAGCAAGAGTGAGGATTGCTGGATGAGATCACTGTTAGATTGGCTGAACTTTTAGATCTTGCTCTCGCTTCTTGAAGACGATTCAGGCAAGCTGATTGAAACCTGCTGAGTCCACTAAAACACGTTGATATCCATTCTACCTGCTCGAAAGCTAAGCTAAGCTAAGCTCGTGGGTATATATATATATATATATATATGTGTGTGTGTGTGTGTGTGTGTGTGTGTGTGTGTGTGTGTATTTATATAATGGTCTCTCCCGTCGGTTTCGACGTATTGTGGCACCATTTACCAGGGCAAAAAAAAAAAAAGAAAGGAAAAAGAGAAAGGAAAGAAAGGAAAAGAGAGGCGAGACCCAATCGTGGATGATAGAAAAAACACCCCCGACCAGGGACAATTGATAATGTTATTTTGATAAATAGCAAATGTCGAAAAAGGTGTCATTACAATGGCAGAAGAATTCTAGGTGGATGGGGGAATCGACTGTGTTCTGTCGACGAACTTGTGTTATCGGGGGATAGATAAGAGCAGCTCAATGCGGAAAACATCTAATTAGCAAACCACAGACGGACTAGCCAAGAAAAACTCCAATTGAAAATGTTATTTTGATAATTGACAAAGAACAGGTGAAATACAGGGCTTTGGATAGATATGAAAAATTAACTGTGTCGTCTGCTAAGCCGCACACGAAGTAACGGTTGACCGTTTTTTTTTTTTTTGACAAAGACATCTTTGGCTGTGATAACAAAACTATGTTATCAGAAAGGTGCACCAAAGAATGACTAGAAGCATGGAACTGTTTTTTTTCTTAGGGTACGGGCGACGGTATTGTGTTGAGAAGACCACCCATTCTGATAATTAGCGATAATCTGACTGACGAAGTCCAGATGAGAACACGGGTTATGACCACCACAGGTCGCATTGTTCTATTGGCGGCCAGAGAAAATGATAACTGCGATTAAAAGAAAGAAAAGGAAAAGAAAAAGTTAATTTGGGGGCAAGAGATATTTTTTTTTCCTGAAACAAAGCCCGCGGGATCGCACACGCCTGGCTGGACATCATTGGCCGAGTGGTGATCACGTGACGCAAGGAGGAAGCTGCCACCGCCCACTTAGAGGATGGGTATGAGAGGTTGCTACGAGGAAGTGGGGAGGACAGTTCACGCAGTTACTTTGGTAACCAGACGTTGGAAGCGAATTGGGAACGACGAGGCTGATATCGAATCTAACCAGATTCCCATCCGAGTCACCAAAAGGTTAGAACGTCACATTTGGGTGCCGCGACCGATACCAAGCCAGTTGGTTGTCACAGGACGAGACAACACTACTGACGCGACAGGCGGACGTCACGTTTGGAGCGGCGACACCCGAACGAAGCAGCGAGGAGCGAGCGAAGGCTGTGTTTAGGGACGTCACAGTATGACGATCTGGCAGCTTAGTTGATTCAGTTATGAAATTTAGTGCGATAATCTTAAGTTGCACTTAAGACCCGCTAGTGATTTACAAAGGAGGCCACATAGAGTGAGGATTGTGGGATGAGATCACTGTTAGATTGGCTGACCTCTTAAATCTTGCTCTCGCTTCTTGAAGATGATTCAGACAAGCAGATTGAAAACTGCTGAGTCCGCTAAAAGATGTTGATCATTCTACCCGCTTCAAGGCTAAGCGCTCGAGAGTGTTATGTGGTATATTGACAGCAGACAAGTTGCTTTTCAGCTTGTCTTTTTGTCTTAGCCATTGGCGTTCTACTTTCCTGTCGCCCTGATCTAACTGGCTGTACATTAGGATCTTGGGTAGCCTGTCATCAGAAATTCTAAAGACTTGACCACTGCACCGTAACTGAGACTGTATGAGAAATGTTTCGATTCCTCCAATATTACATCTGTTAAATGTCTCGGTACGTTAAACGAACGTAAATATTCACTTGACCAAATGATCCCATGTTGTCAGTCGTGAACTATGGGTGAAATAGATGTAAACGGCCGTTTTCTCGTCCAGCGTGCCATGCAGCCCAAATACGAGTACATATCTTTGTCAGCCACCTCTCACTCCATGAAATGTATTATTTGTGTGTCGCGTCCCCACCGGAATAGTTATTAAACTCACCCTGGGAACCGGTAATTTGCTTATCGCGTGATCCTGTAGCTGGTCCTCAAAGTCGAAGCTAGAGAGAAGAAGACTTTAAGACAAGCGACCATTTAAAAAAAAAAAATTAACAATAGTTTGTTGACGGTGAATATGACACGAACAAGCGTCATCTACACTCAAGCTGGCAAAATAATGATTTCGAATATTTTGAGGCATTTATGTTATTATCGAATTTTTTTTCCTTCTCTACAAATAGTATCAGCTAACCTCGTCCCTTGTGGCAGAATGCGTGTATGTTCTTGTCTTTGAGTGACGTAGATTGTCTTAGCACGCTGTCCTGAAATCTTCCGGCGACTACCGAAGCCAAATTCTTCTCCAATTTATATAAGTGCTCCCACCTGGGTACCCCATCCAAATTTGACATTTATGCATGTAGAAATTTCCACCTCTCCTTCTATTATCTCAACGGATCCATTGTCCATAAAACACATGGCCCCAGCCGAAAAGCTATCTCTCTAAATTTTAATGTGAAACCAATTACAGGTTAAATATCGCATTATCTTCCCTCTCGCATCAGATTTAAACTCAGAAATTCAAGTAAATATCTTTCCCTATCATATAAAGAAGATAACCTCTAAGAAATCTCGAATCAATGAATGTTCACCAAATTTCTTCACGGTTCTACATCCGACTGTTTTGAAGAACGTGAAAACACATCTGAACTGTTGTTGTTCCAAGGTACACCTTGACCCAGGGCGGTAGCACCTGTCAGGGCCCCAGCTATGGCAAACAGTAACACCCACCAAACACACTGAAAGTATTAAAAAAATATGGCAAGAATAGCAGCAATACTTTAATACTAAAACCATTAACAATGATACATATTTAGTATTACCAACAATAGATTTTATAATAAAATGACCAACAAAACATTTCATCTGTAGTTGAAGACTTAAAACTTTGTTCAAAATATTTACATTCCGGCATTAAATAACCCATAGAGGTATTGATATACCGCCAAACAAACTCAGCCAATCAACCAACCAACATGAAAGAACTCTTTCATGACATTAATCCATATAATATCCTACAATTTCTTAAAGAAATCAATCTGTAATCCTAAGCTATATCTTCAAAATATAACTTCAAACAAACTACAATATAAAACACACATATCACCACCACTAGTAATCATGTCCACCCAACCATGTATATTAAAAAAAAGCAGAGTATTATCTACCATGTATTCAATTGCGAAAGCAGAATAATATATCATATTTTTATTATTCAAAGCCCCGAAGAAAATTAAATTTCGGCAGTAAATGACCCATAAGTAGTTGATATGCTGTTAAACAAACAAATTGATCAATCATTCCAAAACTGAAGTGCAATATTGTAACAAAAGTTTCAACAAAATTCACTTGAAATCAAAGAATTTGCTAGTTTAGGATCAAAGAAATATCTTGTACAACCCCGCACCCCACAAAAAACTATATTTTTTTAAATGTATTAGACCTTACTTTACCTGCACTATCTTTCCCATTTTTGCCCATGAGAAATAAGTAATCGATACGGATCAATAATTATATCTTCGAATCTGATATTTACTTGGATTCTGAATCCAGAGAATCTATCATATAATTCGAGGGTAAATCCGGTTAGTTTCATTTTTCGTTCTCAGTTTAAACCGTCAATCGATGCTACTTAAGTGACGTAATCTTTTACAAGGAGACAAAATTATTAATGTTAATGAAACCTTTTTAGCGATGCGTAGACTAATTCTGATTCAATTCGTTCGTCATATAGTCTGCTGTTTCTCTAATTTTCACATTTAGATGGAATCCATGTAATAATTGCGCGTACGTTCCAATTCTGATGTGAAGCCATTTCACTTGATCATTTTGCACAATGATATTCCTCCCGAACGGCTGATGTTGTCAGTCATATCCAATTAATGTATATGTCAGCTGGTCTGAAAATAGAGATTCGTTTTGGCTATGACGATAAACTATATCCGGCAGCAAGGCTTCTGATCAGGAGAATGAAGGTTTTCAGGAGCGTGGAATCACCTCTTAATGTCTGTTACTTCCAGGTTTAACTTGACCCAGGTTGGTAGAACTTGTTCGGGCCACAGCTACGGACAAACAGTGCATCTCCAAACAAAAGTCAACGGTTGATTTTTTTTATAAATGAGCAACAATAGATTTTATCATATTACAAAACGCACATTTAAAAAAAACATGGCTTAAACTAAAATTAAACTACGTTCCCGTTTACCATTTATACATTCAGTATATTCCCAGGTAAGACTAAAATACTACCCCAATCCGAGTAAGACGATAAATTTCATCAGACATTAAGGCCTCTGATCAGGAGGTTTTGATTAGCATGGGATCACCTGTTAATTGCTGGTGTATCCAGGTTCCCCTTGAGCCAGCGTGGTAGCACCTGTTAGGC